AGGAGGCAGGAGTCCTGCCATGGAAGGGGTGCGCCTCCCCCCCATCCTCCTTCTCCCTGGGTTGGGAAGGTGCCCTTCTGCCCTCTGGGGACGGCCAGGGGAGGGCGGCTTCCCTCCCGGGGTGGTGGCGGGTCTTTCCTGCCTGCATCGCTTCCCCCCCCCCTCCCCAAGCAGCAGGCCGCCTCAAAGGTCCTGCTGCATGCACCCTGCCTGCTCCAGCTCCATCGCTGGTCTTCCCTTCTCCGCCTGCCTCCCCCTCCGCAGGCCTGATGTGGATGCACCAGCTGGAAGGGGACGTCCGGCTGCGCCACGTCTGCGAACAGAGCGACGGCCTGCCCCGATACGGCTGGCTTCTTCACGACGGCACCCATTTTGGGGTGCAGGAGATCCGTGACGTGGGCCTCAGCTTGCAGACGGAGTTTGTGAAGCGCCCAGGGGGCCGGCACGGAGGCGACTGGAGCTGGAGGGTCACTGTTCGGCCTGAGGTGTGGACGAGCAGCAGGGAGGGCGGGCAGGAGCGGATTTTGCCAAAAAAGGGCGCATCCCGGGGGTCCTTCTCAGGAGCTGGGGGAGGAGGTTTCTTAGGTCTCCAGGCAAGAGAGACCTGAACCAACATCCAGAGACAGATTCTGGGCTGAGTTTCTCCCAGGTTCAAAAATGGGTCTCGGTGTTGCCACCCCATGCCAGAGACTTGCTTCGCACGCCTGCTGTCCAAAGGCCTTGCTAAAAAGAGAAACAGGTGGGCCCCTCCTGTGCGAGAGCAAAAGGGGGAGGGAGGCAGCCCCCCCCCTCGTGTCCTGGTTCTGGCCCATGGAACAGCCGACGCTCATTGCTCTTTTCTTGTGCTCAGAGGAGGGGACCGCAGGCTCCCATCGTTTCGCTGCTCTTCTATGTGGCCACAGACGGGCAGGGGGCCCTGCAGCCCCGGGTGGAGGGGAAGAGCCGGCTGAGAGCCTTGACCGGCACGACCGAGGAGCTGGGAGACTTCAGCCTCACTTTCCAGCAACCCACTGACGAGGCTGGCGCGGCGCCTCTCTATGCCAGGTACCTACCCCGCGGCCACCACCTCTGTGGCGGGTCAGGAGGGGCCCTGTCCTTTCCAGGCACAGCCAGTGACCCTCCCTCTCTCTGTCTCTCCCTCCCTCCCTCCTGCTCTTTCCTCCTCCTTCTCCTCCAGCTACAACTACCTGCAAGCAAAGGCCGAAGGGCTGCACCGCCTGACGGAGGTCGTGAAAGCCAGCCTGACTCCTCGCTTTTCCTATGGGCCCCCGGGGACACCCCAGCGGCGCTACTTTGGTGTGGACGTGTACCGTGGAGGCCCGCCTGGGGGTGGGGAGCCCCGCAGCCAGCTCCTGGTCCACCAGGTGACAGTGGCCCTGCCCTGCCGCCTGGAGGTGGTCTTTGAGTCGGGCAGCTTCGCCGGCCGCCCTGGGCCGCTGGCTGGAGAGGCCCTGACGCAGGAGCTCGAGAGGCACCGGGCGGCCTTTGAGCAGCGCTTCGAGGACACCTTCGGGCTGGCCGCCAAGGGCTACTCCCTGCAGCAGCAGCAGTTTGCGAAGGCCGCCCTCAGCAACATGCTGGGCGGGATGGGCTACTTCTATGGGCAGTCCCTGGTGCGGTCCCCGCACACGGAGCACCCCCAGCTCTACCCAGAGGGCCCCCTCTTCACTGCGGTGCCCTCCCGCTCCTTCTTTCCCCGGGGCTTCCTGTGGGACGAAGGCTTCCACCAGTTGCTGCTCGGGCGCTGGGACCCAGCCCTCAGCCAGGAGGTCTTGGCCCACTGGCTGGATCTCATGAACGCGGAAGGGTGGATCCCGAGAGAGCAGATCCTGGGCGAGGAGGCCCGCACCAAGGTGCCTGCCGAGTTTGTGGTGCAGGACACCAGTGCTGGTAACCCCCCGACCCTCTTCTTGGCCCTGCAGCAGCTGATGGCCCACGGAGGAGGGGAGGCCAGTTTCCTGGAGCGCCTCTTCCCCCGCCTGGAGAGCTGGTACCGGTGGTACAACGAGACGCAGGCCGGGCCCGAGCCCTACACCTTCCGCTGGCGTGGGCGGGACCGGGAGGCTGAACGGTTCCTCAACCCGAAGACGCTGACCTCGGGCCTGGACGACTACCCCCGGGCCTCCCACCCCTCGCCGGACGAGCGCCACCTGGACCTGCGCTGCTGGATGGCCGTGGCCTCGGCCGTCATGGCCGATGTGGCCAGCCGGGTGAAGAAGCCCGCGGGCGAGTATCGCCGCATGGCTGAGGCGCTGGCGGACAACACCCTTCTTGACCAGCACCACTGGGCCGGGGCGCTGGGCACCTTTGCGGACTACGGCAACCATACCTTGGCTGTGGCCCTGGAGAGGGAGCGGCTCCGGCTCCCTCCCCCGGGCCAGCCCCTCCCCACCCCACAGCTGGTGCGTGTCGTCCGCAAGCCGCCCAAGCTGCAGTTTGTGGGGGGAGCGCTTGGGTACGTCAGCCTTTTCCCCTTGCTGCTGCAGCTGCTGCACCCGGACTCCCCCCGCCTGGGCAGCCTCCTGGCGGACATGCGCAGCGAGAAGAAGCTGTGGACGCCCTTTGGCCTGCGCTCCCTCTCCCGCACCAGCCCCTTCTACCTCAAGCACAACACGGAGCACGACCCGCCCTACTGGAGGGGGCCGGTCTGGGTCAACATCAACTACCTGGCTGTGCGGGCCCTGCACCACTATGGCCAGCTCGCGGGGCCCTTCCAGCAGCAGGCGGCGGCCCTCTACCAGGAGCTGCGTGCAAACCTCGTCAGCAACATCTATCGCCAGTACGTGGAGAGCGGGTACCTCTGGGAACAGTACAATGACCGCACAGGGCAGGGGCAAGGCTGCTACCCGTTTACAGGCTGGTCAGCTCTTGTGGTGCTCATGATGGCCGAGGAATATTGAGGAGGAAGAGGTGGCGGTCGCGGTGGCGGGAGCTGCTGGTCCCGGGGGTCCCTGGTTCTTTGCACCAGGGCCTGCTCTTGCCGAGGCCAGTGCTGACCACCCCCTGGCGCCCAGCTGAGCGATCCAGATTCAGAGTCCTGGCAAAGCGGCTGTGGCCCTACAGTCTCCCTCCAGCCCAGGGCAGGCTCTGGCTTTTCAGTTTTTTACTGAAATAAAGCTGTGAAGCTTGGACCTTCTTGTCTCCTCCTTGCTGTGGAAGCTGAGCTGGTGGTGGTGGTGGGGGGAGTAGCCACCATGCAACCCTTGTGGGTGTGGGTTGGACTCCCATGGTCAGAAAAGAGACTATTAGGGGTGTGTGTGAGAGAGGGTTAGAAACTGATGAACCATACGGAGTTTGCAGAGAGGAAGAGAATTGGGACCTGATCCTGAAGGGATCCGCGTGGGGCATTCACTGCCTATACCAGAGAAAGAGCAGGACTTTGGGTGGGAGAGGGGCCCAGGTTTTGCTACAGACTCCCTCAAGGAAGCCACCATTCTGAATTTACAAGAACTGAGTGAGGGGCAGGATGTCAAACGGGGCTGACTCATTCATAGGGCTGCCAGAAGTAACTTGATGGAGCATAAACAACCCAACCCTGCATGCAAAAATCTGCTTCCTTAGATCCCTGACACCTTCGCAGCTGGTCAAAGGGGAGACAGGCAGAGGACCCCCACAGACAGGGTGTGCAGTAGCAGAGTTCAGGCCACCCTCTGTTATCCCTTCTGGGCCCAGAACGGCATCATCCACCCAAAACAGAGAAGCCAGGCTTCCTCCCTCCTTACAGTTAGACAGCTGGTAAAATGTGTTTTAAGAACTGAATCCCCTAGACTAGAGGCAGTCAAAATTCTTTTTATTTTTTTCACTAATTCTGGACTTGCTGTCTGTACGTATATTGCCATATTTTGATTGATGATTGACTGATTATAATTGTGGAGTTTTAAGTTTTAATCTCTTGGCATCCAGAGTGGTGTTTGCACCTAATGAGGTGGTATGTAAATTGAGTGAATGTGTGCATAACGGGAGCTGGCAGAACGCTTGAGCACACACCCTATGATTTCCAGATGTAGAAAAATATTTGGCCCCTTCTTCACTGCGGTGCCCTCCCACTCCTTCTTAAAAAACAGAAGGCAAGAATGGGGGTAGAACCATCGGATAAAACCCAGACATGCTCAGTGACAGGACAGAGCCAAACATCGGCATGGGAACCGCACTCTGCAGGATCCTGCAGTCGTATGCAACCGGTGCTGTCCCATCAGGGGCCAAGAGGACTCCCTGGCGCAGGGGACTTGAGCTGGAGCCCCTAAAGCTGATGGACAGATACAGGGAGGGGGGGCTGCACGCCCTACAAACAGCAGCCTCCCGCACTGGCGTGCACCATGTATTGCTCTGTCAAGCCTAATGACTATAAGAAACACAGCCAAACAGCCTGAAAAACCTACAACAATCACTGCAAGAAACACTTTGGGTGTCTGAGGAAGTAGAGCATGGACCACAAATTAACCAAGGTGTATTCAAGGTATTTATTTAAAGTATTTTTGCCTGGCCTTTCTCCTGAAAAGGACCCGAGGTGGTCCTGTTTCCTCTCAGCATCTCCAAAGGGAACCTGCAGCATGGGGACTGGGGAGAGGGGCATGTTCACATCCAGCAGCTGTGTATTTGAACAGATAAGGCTCAGCAGGAGGCAGCAAAGACCCTTGCTGAGCACAAGAGCCTGCAGTCCGGCCACCAGCCAGTGCCAACTGTAGAGGGCCAAAGGGACCATAATCTAAGCCGCTATGAGGTAGCCTCCCATGCTGGGCCGTTCAACCCCTCCCAAGCAGTGAACCAGCAGTTCAGGTTGCAGTGCACTCCCCGGTGGCCTCCGTGGTCGGTGCTGCTGAAGCAGAGGAGGCTCTCAGTGCAGCTCCCGGACCCTGTCTTGAACCAAGTGTCCTTTCAGAGGGAGAGGTTCGGGACAGAATTAGGGGCACCCCAGGTGCGCCAAGGTGGCTCGGTGGTTGGAAAAGTTGCTCACTTAGAAAGGGATTGTGATGTACGGCTCCCTCCCTAGTTTGGAGCACCTACCTACTGCCCAGATAGTCAACTCTCCTCCAAGTTACACATTTCTCTGTGTGTGGAGGAGGGTCGGTCCTTGCCTGGCCTCCGCAAGATGTCCTTTCCTACACACTCTACATCCCTAGGCAAGCATGAGCAGAGCTAAGAGAGGCAGGTGGACAGACCGCTGCCTTGCAGGATCTTAGCTTTTCCCCCACTGGGCCTCCTTCACAGGGCAGGACTCAGTGATCCACAGGATCCTTTCCACATCCAGGAATTTGCTTTGAATATTACTACCAAAAGGAGAACATGTTCTTTTACACAAGGATCCAATCCCATTTATTCCCCACCCACCCACCTATCAGTCTTCAGTTCAGCCGCCCTATCTTGGCTGAACCGCAGGAAGGCCCTGCCAGCTCAGAACAAGGCTCCCCTCGCCCTGCATTCTACCTAACAGCTGCCTACGGGGAACCCGTGACCAGAACCTGAGGGCAATGGTGCCTTTAATCTCCACCCGATACAAAGGGGTTTCCTGCTTCTGATAAATGGAGGCAATAGAGCCATCCTCATGAGCATCCACTGTTATGCCACCCTCCATGAATCTGCCAGTCCTCTGCCAGGTGCAGCTGCTTAGGATTGGAGCCACTGCACACGCTAGCGCAGAGGTAAGCAAAAGGGGTTCCGCATGGTTCGACGCTACAAAGCACCCCTTTTCCAAAAGCAGGAGACCTTCCAGCCATCCCGTTTTCATCTTCTCAAATTTTGGGGTTTCTTAGCAGGTTTATCTGTAGTCCCCAAACAATTCTGGAGACAGAAAACTGACCACTGGGCAAACACACAATATCCACTTTTTCTCTATGAAACCATGGCAGAAAGTCAATGAATCATTTTCTTGCAGCTTGTATGATAAAAATAAAAACGGACAAGTTGTGATCCCTTAAAACCTGATGGATGTACTTTGGTGTGAATTTCTGCGGATTACAATCCACTTCCTCAGACACATAAAGGACTATTATAGGCAAAAGCTCACAATTAAAGGACCCATGTTAGCATTTTTAAAACGTTTTCCTGTCCATGCTGAAACAAGACTGACAAGGATGCCCTGTTGATGTCTGTTGTGGCTCCTCGAAATTGGAAATCCTTGCCAACAATTCCCTGCATCTCTCACCAGAATCCAGTTTCTGTTCTGCCCCACAAACCAAGACAGCCAAGCAGACCTCCCCCTGAGCAGTTGTCATTCCGCCTGCCTTCAGCAACCTTCTCCCTCTGAGACCATCACCTCTGATGTCTCTCTCACAAGGCTTTCACAAGTATGGAGACTGCCATTATCTAAGCAACAGAGGCACACCAGAGACAGGAAAGTGGTGACACAGAGAACACCGAAGAGGGCCACGAGGGAGGTGCAGTTAATTTGCTTTCCCAAGTCTCGTCTGAGGGACGCCTTTTGTTCTGAGCAGCCCAGGACAGTGAGGAAAGTGGAACTATCAGGATTCATAGGATTGCAGCCAAAATGGCAAGAAAAACTCAGAGGACAATGTTAATAAATGGGCCAAGTGTAAGCAGGACTTTAGGAAAACTGAGGGAGGGGTGGGGACAGGGACCATTGCGCCGACCGTTTCCAAGCTATTAAAGGAACAGCACCACTGGAAAACAGGTTTCATCACTGCACGCCAGGAGAAGGAATTAAAACCAAAGATCAGCAAAACACAGGATCGTCGTCCTTGGGTTCTGTCATGTCACTTTCAATTTACTGCAATAGGTAATATAAACGAGACTGTAGCCAATGATTTTCAGAAGGTCCTATCATTCATCACAAGACTTCAGCAGGTCTTGCCAAAGACTATGGATTCCTTCACTGGGCCAACCTATCTCCTATTAGGTCTCCCTCTTTTCGTACTGCCTTCCATTTTTCCTAAAATTCAGTTCATCCCAAATACTCTAGCTCAAATCAGGACTGAACTCTCACTAAAAATTAACCAGAAACTGGGGTGAATTTGCTTTCGATGCCTCATAAAACAAACTGCACTGAAGAAAAAAAAACTGTGCAACTCAGCTTTAGGGAGAACCTGAGCTTGGAAGCCTGACTTGTTTCCTTTCCCCTGAAGCAAGAAAGTGACTATGGCGCAGGTGAGGTGAGGTGGGGCAGCTCAGAAAGCACGAGCAGCTTGTTTGCAGGGGCACAGACTAAGGAGGCACATGGCAGCCAACCTTCTAGCCACCCCCCACCTCGCACTTCCCAGGGCCCCTCCACCAATAATCCTACACCCACCCTGGATGCAGCTCAGCCCCTCCCCCAGCATAACAAGAGCCTCCATAGCAGGAATTTCACATTTCTTTAATAGTAAGCACGCACCGCTGGGCCCTGGGGAAGGGGGACAACCTCTCTACTCCAAAAGCTACCAAGCACGGGCCGACTCAAGCAGCTTGAAGGAGAAAGGCCAACTCCTGTGCCCTGCCTGGCCAGCCCAGGGAGTCACCGTCCCAGGAATTATCTCCATTCTGCACCCAGCCAATCTCAAGCCCGGTGCAAACGTTCAGTCAGCCCCTGTGGGAAGAGATGCTCCTCGTAACAAAGGCTATAGAGCGCAGTGAGACACACATGTGTGCATGCGCACGCACACACACACACACACACAGAGCTGCTACAGAAGTTACAGCCCAGTCGGCAGCCCTGCACGCATCCCCTCCCAAGCACACGGTGCATAAGGGGGGGATCACAGGTCCACAGGAGGCCCTTATGCTGGCACTGGAGTCACAGGAAGAGCAGGCCTTTGGTCACAAAGCTGGAGAGGGCCAGTGCTACATTGTCTAGACAGCGCCTGGGGGCAAGAGAGACACAGCGTGAGATCTGGCAGAGGGCAGTGTTGGTGCTAAGGCGGTAATTCTCCACAGTGAACTGCAGGGGCGGAGGGCCTTGCCCATGACTCAGGGCTGCCCCAGTCTCAGTCCCAAGAAGCGGGAAGGGGGCCATTGGCCAAGCAGGGCAGCCCCCTCCCTTCAGACAGGCAACGTAGGTGAGGAGGCCAGTTCTTCGGGGTCCCCTTCAGTCTGCACCCCGCACAGACTCTGGGATTCAGGAACCGATGGAGAACAGGGACCCCCCTTCTCAAGCAGGTGGGTGGCTTCCTCCACTTCTTCTTCCTCCTGGCCACGCCCCACCTCAATCCCGGAGTCCCCTGTCAGGCGGCGGTGCCGAAAGTGCTCGCCTTCATCCACAATCTCTGTCCCGTCGTCGCTGTCAGAGACCCGTCGCGGTTCCCCTTCAAACAACTCCACATCGGAGGAGAAGAGGGCATGCCTGAGGCGTGGGGTTGCAGGATCTGCCCCAGCCTGGACCGCTAGCTCCCAACTGCCTGCTGTGCTGCTGCTACAGCCACCTGTGGCCCCATCCATCTCGGTCTCCCCCTCGCTGGGCGTGCTGGCCTCCGTGGCTGAGAGGGAGGTGCTGCTCGGCGACGTCAGGCAGCTCGAGTCACAGGAGCAGCTGGTGTAGTTGTCCGAGCTGCCCGTCAGGGTCAAGGTGCTGGAGCCCAGGTGGCTGGCGGAACCCCCAAGGATGGCACTGTAGGGGGGTGGCGGCGTGGTTGGGCGGTGGGCCACCTCCTCATAGGCAGGGAGCTTGAAGGAAGCCAGCATCCCTGCAGAAAGAGAAAGAAGCATTAGGGGAGGAGGACAGCAGGCAAAGGGGTGGGGAGGCTGCCTGAGCAACGGCAGCTGAGGACCGGGCCTCATGAGCAACGTGGAAAGCCCTCTGCCTGGGTCCAGCTTCCATCCCCATCAAGCTCTCCTTCCCCGCCCTGTCTCTTGCCAGGAAAGGACGCCAAACCAACTCAGCCAGGTTCCTGCAATCGGCCTGTCATGCACCATGTTCTGTCCAGAAAGGGGGCAGATATTGCCTCTTTGATGCAAAGCTGTGCAGAAGTGCAGCCCATCACCCTCCAAGATAGCAGCTCAGAGCGGAAGATGCTGCATTGGCCCCTTCACCCCACCCATCGCCTGCAGAACTGAGGTCCCAAGCCCTGGTCTGGAGCCTTTCCTGAACAAAGCAGGGGAGGAGGCCATGAGCGCCCACTGGCCCCTCTTGGCGCTTGAGTCCAGTCACCCCCAGAGCAGAAAAGGCACCTACTGGCCTGTGTGCATGGAGGGTTTGGGGGGGGGGTTTCCCTTCACAGGTTACATCCCTCTGGCGGCTTCAGGGCCTTGGCTGGCTGCTCCCCCCGCACCCGCACCCGCCCCGCAGAAGCCCCGGCGGAGCTCCACTCACTGAGGTCCATCATGGACGGCGGGTAGTTGCAGGCACCGTGGTAGGCGATGAGGTTGATCTCCCGCTGCCGCTGCTGCTGCTGCAAGCGCAGTTTGGCGCGGCGGTGCCGGTAGGCGCAGCAGCAGCTGAAGAGGATCAGCACCGTCCAGAGGAGCCAGAACCCTGCGGGGAACGGAGGGGGGGAAAGGGGGCGACGGGCGGCCGATGAGGGAGGGAGGGAGGGATGGG